TATTGCAATAAGCTGAAGGGCCACCCTATGCTGAAGTCGGCTGAAGGAAGAAGATGTGTTTAATGAAAAAGAAGCAGCCCTAATCAATTTTATACTGTTCAGGTGGACAGTATGATAGTGAGAAGAAGGCTGTGTACATATTAAGTATGGAAATGATGCCTCAGTCTCTTGTCTCTCCAACTTCTAAGTATCATAGCAATCTTTTTAAGTATACAAGTCCTCTTGCTCACTGTATTGTGTGTTCTACATTGCTTTTTGAAGATTTTGTTTGTTTGTTTGTCCTTGTAAAATCTCAGATTTTCTCACTGAATCCAATAAATTTTATCTGGTCTTTAGTAATTTAATTATCATTGTTTACTGTTGAAACATTCATATTTCAAAATATACAGGAAATAGTTGAAGGAATGGTGAGCATTTGTAAAGAATACTGCCACCTGTTGTTTAGATTTTAATGAGCAAGATCACATCAAGTGATCTTTCTGGAAATAGGTTTTTACAAAACTCAGAATGGTCTAGGCAAGAGCTATCTCAAATGTGTTTACTTTTATTTAACAGCTCACTAATGGTTGTATACAGTACTATCTGGTTAAGTCAAAAGAATGTTCTCTTATTTTCTCCTTATAATACAGCTATTTGGGTAGCAACTGGATACGTTTAAATTTTCAGTCTTTGTCCTATGACATGGAAGGGCATAGTCACCAAAGATGGCCAATCCTACTTAAGAGATTGTGTTTTGAGAAAGGTGAAATACTCTAATCAACCAACAGAAGCTTCACCATATTTACTACCTGTCAACTCTCATAACTTCCCATATGAAGTTTTAATTTTATGATATATGAAAATTAATTTTATTTCTGGACCTGTCTTAAAGAGCTTGGCCTCACTTTTGTTACCAACTTCTTAAATATGACAAACTTTCAACTTAGGTTAAATACATGAAAACTCACACATCTAGTGAAACCCTGTCTGATGCTTCTAGAAACCATGCTAATAAGACTTACATGGTATTCCTGAAATAGACATAATAGTTTTTTCCCTAACACCAACTCTTCTTCTAGGTTAGAAAACAAAAATTGCCATGGAAAATCAGGGGGCAGCTGACTTTGTCTTCCTTTCTTTCCTCATCTACCCAGCCTTGGAATTTTCATGTACTTCTGTGACTTCAATGTTCCCACTTAATCATCCTGTAACCCCTACTTTGACCTCTCTCTGAATTCAAATTCCAAACCCACACTGCCAACTTCCAGCTAGATGTCTCCTGTTGAGTGTTCCACAATCACAAGATTAAACATGGCTAAACTGGTTACCCATTTTTTTTCTGAAATAAATTTTCCCTTTCAAACTATCCCTAAATCACTGTTGATTTCAATTTATTCCTCTTCCCCCATATCTTGTTAGTTACATAGTTCTATTAATTGGTTAATTCATTCAAATTTAAATATTGACTGGATGCTCACTGTGTCCCCAAGCACAGAGATAAGGGCTAAGAATAATAAGGTAAGTCCTTGACTTTTAGTTTCACTGTGAATGGATTTCAGATTCTTATTTAATGTCTTTCACATCCAATACTTTGTTTCCATTCCCACTGCCATTATTTTAATCCAATTTATAGTCTTGATAGGTCAGGACTCTGGCAGGAGTTCCTTAGCTGGTGGTCTCTCTGCTTCTCTCCCCTCTGCTCATCCGAGTCCTGCCCCCATCCCTTAGGCCCTATCTAACCCACTACCAATAGAAGAGTCTTCCTGATTCCTGCTTTGCAATATTCTTTGCTCATATTCCTTTAATGGTTGTTATTGCTGGCAGAATTATGTTCAAACCTATTAGCCTGTTTTTTTTTAAATAGTTTCTACAATCTTCTTCTCCTTTTCTAGTCTTATTTCCTACTATAGGAATGTTTCTCCAAGCACAGTCTTCAGATTCTCTCAATCAGAATCCAATACATATCTTATTAGAGATAGAAATTTCTTGTCTGCCAGTGAATCAGTATCTTGCGTTCATCCAAGAAATTGGAAAACAGTGCCTGACATCCAAGAACTGACCTGGCGCACACAGCTAGGCCATCGTGTTCTCCTGTTAAACACAGGCAATTTCCCAGAACACCAGTATCAGACAAAGCCACTCGGTGATCATGAGAGTTGATCCTTAAGTATGAGTGCAGACAAAAACAGGAACATTAAACCACAAGAACAAATATCCCTCATCCTGGCAACTGTGATTGTTGTTTCTTTACCAATCACAATTTGAACATTGCTTGGTTTTTCCCACCTACTAGGTAGAAACATACCAAATCATAGAATTACCTGATTTACTGGCAAAATCTAATCCAGAGGAAAGCCCTGCTTCCTTGGACCCTCCTCCAGGTCCCCTAGCACAAGTCCAAATACTTTCCAAAATCCTTTTACTGAAACACTCCATAGTTCTCCATGATGTATGGTTTCTCTCTTTGCAATAATAAATAAACTCAATCTCAATAATACGTGTATTCCTACTAGCCTTTGGCTGGAGGCATTTGACAGAGCACACGAATCTTCCTTTTATTTGAGCAAATCATGGAAAATCTAAACTTTAGTTTGAGAAACACCACTACAACCAAACTGCTGTCTATAACAAGTCATATGCATTAGTACTTATCTAAATCCTTTCAGTCCTTCAATGATTACTTATATATCCCTTCATAACTGAGGCCCCCTGATGTGCCATTTTATGTCATGTCCCCTTCATTGAATTCATACCAGTTACACTCAGTTAAAATCAGGTACAAGACATTGTATTGCCCCTCATTCCTCAACATTCCATGCCTGGCCTTCCTCTCAAAAGCTATGGTTGTTCAACATCAGACCCTCCAGAGAAAAACCAGTTCTAATCATTATCAACAGAAAAATCTTTCTGGCTCTGATTTGCAAAGTTGCTTCTTTTCTCATACACATTTTGTGTTTGCTGTTGCTTGAGAATAAAGTTCAAACATTTCAACCTGTTGTGAATGAGCAATCTGGGCTGTTTAGTATCAGACCCTTCAGAGCAAAAGATAAGAAGGAGAATGAGTTCTGGAAATACTAGGTCACTTTTCCAGGGCCAAACTTAGCAAGGATCCCAGGAAGTTTCCAGAAACCAAAACAGAGAGGAAAAATCTGGCATCTAAGAATATGAAGGCAATAAATGAAGGAATGAATAAAAAATAATTAATGCTTGTGCTTCTACAGTTATTTATGATCAGATATGCTTGAATAGACCTACATGTTGGTTTTATGTCTTTCAAAAGAGTTTTATTTTTTAAAGAAAACATGCATATAACAACTATTTTTTAAGGTGTGTAATAACATTTTATCTCCATTTATTTATTCCTTTATTCATGCACAAATACTCTTGAGGCACCTTTTACATTAAAGTACTATATTAATGATTGGCAGCACAAAATTAATCAAGAAAGGTCACCACTCCCATTAAAAGCCCACAAGCGACTGGTGCAAAAAGCAAAAGTGAAATGAGTTTTAATTGCATTAAGTGTAGGATAAGGCACTAGTGGACTACACAGGAGGAATTCCTGGAAGAAATAGCTTTAAACAGACACCTAATAAATTTGAAAGTATTAGTCATTTTATAGAATTGTGGTGAATCACTTAGGACACCTTTCAAGTTTTCTTTAAAATACATGTTATCCACTTGTTCAAATGAAAAGTTTATAGCCCAAGGTTTTAGAAATTGTTTTCTAAGGTCTTCCTTTCCTTTAATATACTTTGAAAGTTGCCAGCTGCCTCCTTTTAAGATAGTGCATTTTTCAGTCTCTCCAACATCCAAGTGCTTGGTAGCCTTTTATATGAGTAAATTTTTCTGTCCTGAAAAACATTCTGTATAGAAAGGTTTTCCAAAGTCTTCTTTGATAAGAATTATAACTTAACTACATAGAATCAGATCAAAAAAAATGGGCAATATCATGACACATCATGAATAATTCTTTAAACATTCCCAGGATTTGCCACAGTTTAAGTATATTATTAGTTACTTTTTTCTAATATTGTACAGAGTACATGGTTAGCAAATGACTGGAAATCAGAGTCCAGGTCTAGCTTATCTGTGGCAGTGTATTCTCCCATAATAATACCCACAATACAAAGGATACATTTTGAGTAAGATTTTGGAGAACTTTTGCAATAGTACAGAGAAGCAGAAGAGGGTAGAAACAAATAATCCAGAGGACCCCGAATCTTACTAGAGATAAGATGGTGGCAACTTGAAATGATTCATGTATAATGATCCAACATTCTTGTGGTCTCAGAGAAGGTATACAAAAATAAGTCCACATATACTCACATTTCAAATAAGAAGAACTTGTGGTTGGAGGGGGATTTTTGAAGGAGACATGATCCTTTCCTTAAGCAGCCTACAGTGTAGCTGAGAAGACAAGGCAAAAGAACAAGAAACAAGCTGGTAGCAATTAAGTGCTGGACACGAGGTGCTGAGAGCTTGAGCTGTGATGGTGGCAAAGAGAATGCAGTGGAGGGAGAGGAGTGTGCACTTGGAATCTCAAATTACATCTGTTAGATGTTTTCCCGTATCAACTTATCCATTTAAAAATATAAGTTCCTATGGGGTAAAAATGATGCCTATGTGTTTAACTGAACTCATAACTCTGACAACTTCCAACCTCTATGTCCTACAGGGTCTCCTAATTTGTGAGATAATTATAGCATTTCTGTAGCTGTGTCCATTAAGTTCCAATTCACCTGCATCTTTTACCAGCCTTTAGAATTAAACATTAGTCACCAACTTAATTCTTAAGTGTGACAATTTTGTTGGCTCCCTGATCATAGGGCTTGACGTGCTGGCTATTGGTACCAACATTAATGGACCTCCTGAAACATTGTATGTTCTTGCCTAGTCCTCTTGCTCACATGCATTTTTGGCTATCTTTTTCAGGCTAGACTGCCATGTTGGGACTCCTGTCCCATTGTATTAGTTACCTATTGCTGCACAATAAATTACCACAAACTTTAGTGGCTTAAAACAACAAACATTTATTATCTTTCACAGTTTCAGAAATCCACAAGGAGAATAGCTGAGTCCTTTTAGTTCAGTCTCTCGTGAGGCGGCAGGCAAATTGTCATTTGGGGCAGTAGTCATCCAAAGGCTTACATTGAGCTAGAGAATACACTTCCCAGCTTACTTATTTGGCTGTTGTCAAGAGACCTCAGTTTCTCACCACATGGGTGTTTTCATATGGTTGCTTGTGACAGGACAGCTGGCTTCCCCAAGAGTGAATCATGATCTTGGAGAGAGAAAGAAAGGGAGCAGGGGAAGGAGGGAGGGCTAGAAAGAAGGAAAGAGAGAAACATATTACCCTTGTATCATACATCATTAGTTCCACCTTATACTAGTCTATTCACTAAATTGTCCCACAGTTGATGGGAAAGGATTACACAAGGATAAGTACCAATAGTCAGGGTCCATTGAGGCTGTTCTAGAGGCTGCACATAAAACACTCCTCTATAAAGTGACTTAGTTATTCATCTGAAGTAGTTACCTTCATCTTCACATTATTATTAACTCCCTCATGAAATGAAAAGGAATTCTAATCTGCTTCTGGAGCTATCTGAAATTAATATTTTATATTTTAGCCTCAAAGTAGGAACTCCCCCTTCTTCCTACTGACAGAATTTACCCTTTTGAGAATGAAAATATACTTGTCTCCTTCCCCAGTTATTGTCTTTCACTGAAACTTGTAGTTACCATTTCTTCCTTATTTTGATTTATAAGGCTGTCAGAATAATAGCACAAAGCATTCCTTAAACTTACAATGTCAAGGAGAAAATGTAGAATTCTTTCTCCTCTTTGCTGCCAACTGAAAATATTCATATCCAAATCCTTCACCACTCGGTTAACAAGCCAAACCAAATTCACTGTAGAAGTGAGCAGTTGCCAAGTGTTTTCTTCTTTTACTTGTATCAAATAAATAAAGAACTGTATTGTGTAAGCATTGGTTTATTTCATACATAATTGAAATAATTTAGGGCTTGAGTCTTCAGCGTTTAGAGGAAATAAAAATTCACCTACTATAATATAACCTACTATTATCATGGCTTGACTCTGTGAAAGATTCTTTTAAACCAGGTATAAATTGGATATTGGAAGTCAAGGTCATGGTCTCTGCCATTCAGAAATTTACAGACAAGTGAACAAGTTGGAGTTTAGTTCCCAAAATCTTAACTTTTGTCAGTGAAGAAGCAAACACTGGTCTGTTAACACATGCTTTTAAGAAGGCAGTAGAGATTTTGTACTTTCTTAAATGCATGTCATCTTTGACAGCACCAAGAGAATTTCCCAAAAAAAATGATGCTAAAATATTCAGTATGGAATTCTTAGGCAGACTTCTATATTTGCAGATTCAGACAAAGATCATTGGTCAAGTGTATGAACAGATTAAAGACAGGACTGTGTTCTATTCTCAGTTCCACCATAGCTGTGTTAACTTCAGCAACATCTGTGAGCTTTGCTTCCTTAAAAGGAAAATGGGAGTAATGAACATCATATTTGCAGATATGTTTTGATGATTAAAGTATATTAAAATACTAGTGAAAAAGCTGACATATAGTAGGCACTTAAAAAAGTTGATTTTTCTTTTTCTTCTGCTTTTTTTTTTAAAGAATTATGCCAGGGAGCTCTTTCATATAGTTGTTTTATTTTCTGGTTCTGCTAGAGAATCTGGGTGTACAAACTCTTCTGCCTTCTTCATGGAGGACATTATATCATTAACTGTATTCTGCACACTTACGAGAGAATTGAGCTGAATATTTAAGTACTCCCCAAAGTCAAGGCATGATTTAGGAAATTATGTATATTAGAATGTTATGCTGCAATATGATACGCTAAGTCCCAGTGAAGCTGTGGTTCCTAATTCAGACTGGATTAAGTTTCTATGCTTAAATTTTATTACAGTGTAGATCATCGATATCAAGTGAATCAAGCCAACTATGAAAGCATCACTAATAAGAGGAAACTTTTTAATGTATCAAGAAACCACCGTATGAGGTTTTACACCAAATGCAGCACTTACTTCAGAGACATTTTCTGGAAAGTTGCTAATGTTGAGTTTTATATTAAGTTTACAATGCTTTGGAATCACTTTTATTTCCCATCTCCAAAGACTTTTGATAATGGATCAAACCAAACTACTAACATGGAGAAGTGATTTTGCTGAAGTAGAAGACACCATTTTACCACATCACTGCTGAAAATTGACGGTAATTTGGTTTACAGTCTCTTGTAGTCATGCTATGGTCTTGAACCTCTTCCCAAATACTTTTTCTTCCTCCCGCTAATTGAAAACTACTGTCTCTCAAACCTCTCTCTCTTTGCTCAAGGAGCCGAGGAGAAGAATCAGCATATTCTGCATCTTCTGCTCCTTCCAAGCCATTTATTGCCTCCATTGGAATCTTTCACTACAACTTTTCTACTTTTCCCTAGAATCTTTCCTACTACAACTTAATGTAAACCTTTTCCTGTCATTCCATCTTGGTTTCCTTGTCATGTCCATGTGCACTATACACTTAAATAATATCCCCAACTATGCCCAGTCCTCTTCATCTCACACAAAAGACTAGTGTATAGTACATGGTTTAGGTTTTTTAATTCATAATGATAGATATGACTATAAAGAGAAAACAATTACTTGTGTTGAAAATGAGTGCATTTTATCCTTATATGCTAATTTATGAAGAAGCCTCAGTAGAAACACAAGGCATTTGGTGAATGTGGAAACAGAAGAGATAAAATTAGATAATATTCCTAGTTAACATCCTATGACCTAATGCCTGATGTCCCTCTTCACTAAAGACTGTGCTGCTAAGCAAATTAGAAATCTGACCAGTTCATTTGTACACAATGCTTTGTAGCTATTCTGAAGGTACACAGAGTTTCCATAGTACTTTTTGCTTTCCTTTTAATAGACACTAGGCACAGTGGAAAACATTGTATGTATTCTTTAGCTATAGTGTATGTTTGCTTCACTTGAATGCAATATGATTGATTAGACTTAGTCATTCCCATTCATAGCCACCTTGGTACATCTTGTATATTCCTGTATCACCTTAGCTATTTATTTGCAGGTAACCACATCTATTGATGGTTATGCCATATTATTTTTCCAAAATTCATCATGAAATGGTGTTTAGCCATCTCTGGTGCCCTACCTCATGTCCTCATAATGCACTTCTAGCCCTGTTGTTGCTATGACAACCAGCTGTGCAAAAGTGTGATGTGACAGGATCTTGTCTCCACGGCAGTGAAGTTTCCTTGTTTTCTGCATCAGGGAATTTTTGCTGTATTGCCCATGGGAATATGCTCAGATATTTTGACTTACACATAATCTCGGAGGTGTGAAGGATTTAACACAATGGGAGATAAGAGATCCCTTTGCTTATCCTATGAGTGGACAGTTCTGAGGTATGTTCCACACAGCTCCTCAAGCTGTTCTCATATGACAAAAACCATATTATTTAATGTGCCAAAGTTCTTAAAATGAATATATTTTTTTCCAAGTTGAAGATGTTGGAATATGTTCATTATGTTGATTTTCACACTGGCAAGTGTTCATCCCATCATAACTTTCAGAAGTATTTTATCAGCTCCCAAATCAATATTCGTATTTTCCAGAAGAAGCCAACCTAAAATATTTGGACAATTAAAATAAAAAACCACAGTATGAGAACAAACTTACTGAGAAAAACAAGCAAATCAAATGTTAACTTGCATGATTCTCTTTTGCTTTATATTTTAACATAAACATGTAAAAAACTGGGAGATTTATCCTTATAAATGAAATATTTTTTCTTTTAACTTGTGGAAACTAATTTAAAAAATAAAATTAGCTGCATCACAAATATAAAATATATAAAAGCCTTAGTACCTAACATGGTTTTGAATTTGGCTCAAGATGATTTCTGACTTAATACCTTCCCTTAAATATTGATACAAAACCAGGGTTCCACCAAACATCTTGTCAGTGTTAAGAAATTATATTGTAAATGCAGTACACAAACCCTCATTCTTATTTTCTAATCTTAATTCAGAGAAGATGAAAAATGCAAGTACTAAGTCCCTAAAGAAATATTATTAACTCCTCAAACTGGGCTTATTTAGAATAAATAGTCCTACATGTATGCCCTTGAACTTAGTGAAAATCACTGTGAGTAGTGTAATTTATGCATTTCCTGATTTGTACTAAAATTGCCAGTGCATTAATTTAACATTTTAGAGGGATTTCCAAAGACTGTTCTTGAAATTTTCAAGGTATAGGGTTGTCATTTCTCTGGAAGGAAAAAATCTAGCATCTGACAATAATTCTCTGTAATCTTTTACTTGGATGAAGACTCTGGTTTTAGCCATGGCTTTTCCTCATGCACAAATTGAACAAATTTCCAAATTTCTGTTCTCTTTTACTCAAAATAATAAAATATGTACACTGAATCCTCCCTTTGGTCTGTCCTTGACCCACTAAAGTAACAGGTTTGATCCCTGCAACCTAATTAGTTACCCAGTCACCATAATTATTTTTAATTGGGAAGTTTTTATCTAAACACTCAAATGTGCTTAATGCTCAGCAACAGTTCCATTGACTGTATTCTTTATTCTCTGTGTTGTTGTTCTTCATATTGTTGTTCATATTTCTTTTGTTTTGTGACCCTGCATAACCATAGGTCATTCTGGTATTGACTGATGACAAAAATCTGCTCAAAAATAACCCTTATCATTCTTCTAAGTTATTTTGGAGGATAACAAGTTTATATTCAGATTCATTGACTACAAAACCAACATCCTTTCTCCAAAACAATGTGTGTAATTTTATTCTCATATAGTCATAAGAGATAAGCAGTTTGTTTCTTAATTTTCACAGCAACATTCACGGACATCTGAGATTGTGGTTACATGGATAATATTATTTGAAAACTTGCTAGAAATCAAAAATTTAATAAAGTAGGTATTTATAATTATCAATAATTATCAAAATCATATTTTTAAAATAGTATAAAATAATCAGAGTGATAGTTACTGAGAACTTCTTGTTAAGCATCTGTGACCAAAAAATAATTAGGCATCTTTGCATTTCCTTTGGGTCAGTTTCCTTGAATACCATACTATCTCCCACCTTAAAAAATAAAACCAAAAGTAAACAAGTTTTTAAAATTCCTCTGCACCTGTTCCCACAAGCTACCTTCTTTACTGATCCCTTTTTACAGAAAAACAGCTTTATTCAATACCATCTTCACTTTATTTTCTTCCTTTTGTATTTATAACTTCCTCCAACTCAGGTTTTCATTTCATCCTCTCCACCAAAAATAATTCCTCAGGGCCCCTAATTCTTGCTGAATACAATGGTCTATTCTAAATCCTCAACTTACTGTATTTTTCCTGGAGCAGCATTTGATAATAATTGATAAAACTCCATTTCTTGAAATATGTTTTTCTTTTGACTTGAGAGATGACACACACTTCTGTTTTTCCTCTTCGAGCCAACTGCTTCCTTTGTGGTCTTCTTTTGTACTTTTTCCTGTTCTTTTTGTCCACTAAATTTTTAAACACCTTAACAATTGATCCTCACTGAAATTAAAGTTCTCTTTATTACTGTAGTATATAGTCTTCTGGGATCTGTAAAGTACATTTCCACAGGGACACAGAAAGAGTCCAGTTGAATTACACACTGGCTATTTCCTGGGCTTCTTGTGAGGGAAAGAGTCAGTTATTAGTTGTGGCCCCATGGCCAACCGCAGCAGAGTCCAGTCGGCAAGATAGGAAGTCACCACTTTTGCAGAGAAAATTAATTCTGATCATCAGGAAGAGGTAGGCCTTGTTGGAACACATGTGGAACCCCAGGTGACCAACTCAGATGACCCTTGGTATTTACTTCTTCAGTTCTGATGGTAAATAACCAGTGTAGTAACTTCGGCCAGAGAAAGCCATGATAAATTGTGACACAAATGCCTCAGAGAAGAGAGTCTTGGTCATGCCACCAATCAGTGAGTCCACAGAGACCAGTAGAGTTGGTAGCTGAGGGGTACAGGGATCTAGAATACATAATAGAGGATGGGGTCATTTATTAGTTTTGGCCCTATGACCTTCTACAACAATGAGTACTCTAGTTTTTCCCACATTTTCCTCAGGAAGACAAGCTTATGGAGAGCTGCTTGCAGAATCAGTGAAAATATCGAGTAATGCAAGGAGTGAATTATGGTAGACATTAGGTTTTATTTCCCCAGCTTCTGGGCATGCTGTTAGAAGATGGTCTTCAGCTGTCATCTTTCTATCAAGATTCCCTCAGTTAAATAAAACTGCCTTGTCCCAAGTCATGCCTCCAGCTCTGAATAGCTGATATCTAAAGAACCATCAACATGGGAATATAAAAATACAATCCTAACTCAGTACAATTTCGACGAGCTGTCTTGGCTGCAGAACCACCTATTGGAGTCAGCTTAGGCTTTGATGGGACTACATAATTACCTAAGTTGTTGTACTAATCCACAATGATATATTTACTTACCTGAGAAAGACTGAGATTTCTTTAATGACAAGATTAATCTGGTTGTGCACCTTTGTGTCTCTAATGCTAACATCAAGTAGCTTACATGGCTAGCAATCAATAAATATTTTTAAAATAAATGAATGTCAAAATGATGCACTTCTATATGTCACAGATGATTGTTTATGTGGCATAAATTGAAAAATATGGATTTTGGAGTCAGACTTTCCTGGAATAAAAAGCTACTTCTATATTTAGAAGAGCTTTGTGAAACAACCTTGAGCAAATTGCTTAACCACTCCAAGTCTCACATCAGATTGTTATAAGAAATGATAATAATACCAATTTAAAAAAATTGTTATGAATAGAATCAATGATAATATTCATAATGGACTTCTTATTATTAAATATAGTTCTCATTTGTTGCAGCCTACCATGCAGCACAAAGATGCTAAAGATTTTCAGCTATAATTCTTATTTAGTCCTCCAAGCCAGTCTGGTAAATTGATGGCAACTCCATAAAGATTAAACAACAAATTTAGACTCAGAAATTATTTAGTCTATCATGGAAGATTAGTCAGGATAGATTACAAACCACTTCTAATACTTCAGAGTATTAACAGATAAAGTTTTATTTCTGATACATACAAAGTATGTTGTGGGTCTGACTATTCTCTTAAGTACCCTCAATCCAACTTTTATTCTGAAATCCAAATCTGCTATGTCTTGCATCTTGGCCATCTTAAACATATGGTTCTAGTTCACTGTAGCAAGTAATGAATGGCCTGGGTGTTGTACTTTGGCTTTTAAGTACAAAAGTCAGCTGACAACACATTCATATAAATGTATACATGTAGAATATGTATTTTATAACACATAAAATATGTATTTTATAATCCACATACATAAACCTTATATATTTATATATATAATTTTACATCTACAAACACCCATTTTTCTTATAAAGTAACATTCACACCTTCAGGGATTAGGGCCTGAACATATCTTTTGGGAGGTCACAATTCAGTACACTACAGTTTTATTAAGATAAATTAGTAAAATTACAATTAATAGTTCAGGGTATGTAAAATTTAAAGACTTTTAGATAAATATTTCAAGACTGTGTTCCAAAATAATTTTGAATTGAATTTTGGATGCTCTTAAACATATCCTTGTTATGTAGTGTATATGCATACACAGTGCAAAAACACATGTGTACCCTATAAAAATAAAAACAAGAGAAGGTTGGAGGTTGGGTAGAAAAGAGAAAAAGATTGGTAGGGACTTTTCAGAGTTGTCCTCCTTGATCATCTAAATACTGTTCACAGGTATGTCAATAAAATGTACCTGTTAGTCCAGGTTTAAAAATGTAACTGAACTTATCTGGTTTTGACTGACTGATTGATTTCTGGTTTATTTCTATCTGAATATAAGTTTTTTTTTCAAATGTATAAATTTTAATGTAAAATAATTTATCTTTGATTATGAGCAGTTATCTTTTTCATTAAAACAAAAACATTTTTCTGTTTTCTTCATTTTTCACATGATCTTTACAATGTAGAGTGTAAAGTGGAAGCTGTTAGAATCATTTCATGAATAATTTAGATCTATCTTTCTATCTATTTCTGTTGAGTGATGGAAACCATCAATATTGGATATTTTTGTTTCCTAAACATAGTTGAAAAGTTCTCCAAAAAGGAAATGCATCTTGGAATAAAAGTTATTTTCAAGAGCATTCTGGTAATAAATCCTGTGGAATTGTATTTTAATACTTTATTATCAGTAGCAATGATTCACCAGCTCTTTGATAGAGGGTGAATTTTTATAGCAACTTACATAATTTACATATTAAGTTTAGTGTGAGTCTTTCAAAATCAGAGGCCATGCACTTATTACAGGGATGTGATCTGTATAATAAAACATCTATAGTTCTATTAAGATAAATTAGTAAAACTGATGTTTGGATTTCTCTTTTAAGACTAACTTCTTTTAACTGATGGTTTAAGATTCTCAAAAATAAAGATATTGTGTCCAGGGCTGGGAATGTGGCTCAAGCGGTAGTGTGCTTGCCTGGCATGCGCGGGGCACTGGGTTTGATCCTCAGCACCAATAAAAATAAAATAAAGATGCTGTGTCCACCAAAAACTAAAAAATAAATATTAAAAAAAGATATTGTGTCCATATGTAACTAAAAAATATTTTAATAAATAAATAAAACAGTTTTGTTTATTTGATAAACCTACATGTCTCATTCTGAGGACCCATTGTTCTTGGCTCCAAGTAACTTCTGTTTGGCTCCAAAAATCAAATCTGTCTTCCTGGAAAAATTTTACCATTAAAGGAAGACAATCAAAAGAATATTTTGTAATAATTATTTAAGCAACAGCATCATCATCAGATAAGTATATAGCTTCCTAGGGAACAGAGAGAGAGAGAGAGAGAGAATATGCAAGCATGCACATGTGCTCAGATATGAGTATTTGTACCATGTTCTCATTAATATCCTGACATATTACTACAGAAATAACACGATAGGGTCATAGGATAACAGATTTTATGAAGAAAATGGTACACTTGAGATTTTCAAGTGAAAACTCCTAATTTTACAAATAAGGAAAGGAGAGATTTAGGCAACCAAAGTAAGTTGCAGAAGGCTAGCCACATCTTTAATTGATGTTGGGTATGGTGGTACACACCTGCAATCCCAGTACCTCGGAGGCTGAGGCAGGAGAATCACAAGTTTGAGGCCAGCTTCAGAAACTTTGTGAGACCCTGTCTCAAAATAAAACAGCTGGGGGTGTGGTTCAATGTTTAAGTGCCCCTGGGTTCAATCCCCTCTACTCCAAAAATACAAAAACAAAAGCAACCCTACTATATGGCATAACTGAAGTTGGGAATTAGCTAGCAATGTTCAACTTGCAGATGTGCCTATATGGCCTGGAAATTTTTAAATATGATTTAAACACCTTTTGGTGAGGATAATAATTCTTCACTTTAATGGGTTTTTGTCATGCATGAAACATGCAGCCTTAAGTAAGGTTTCCAGATGTAACAAATCAAAATTTGAATTTCAGACACTCAGCACTTTAAGAGTTGTATATAAGTATATCCCAAACATTTTAAGGGATGTACTCATGCTAAAAATATTCGTCTTTTATCTGAAATTCAAATTTAACTGAGTGTCTTATATTTCATCTTGCAAACCTAGTTCAGAGCAAACAAGGCATTTTGAATTCAACCTATCCACTAGGTGTGGCAGAAAGATTTACTGTTTACAAAAAAATCTATATTCCCCCACATCTTGTACCTTCCATGAAATTGGGCAGGACCATACGACTAGTTTGGGCCAGTGTGCTATAATTTTATATATTATAGCAAAATAATATTAATAACGTTAAGTAATATGTTCAAAATATGTACAATGGAAAGAAGCATGCAAACCATACTACAAAATATAATTCCATATGTTGGGGATTAACATTAAAATATATATATTCTACAACTCAACAACAACAATGGTGCAGATGCCATGGAAACAGCATGGCAGTTCTTCAAACAACTAAAAATAGAACTACCATATAACCCAGCAATCCCATGTATGGGGATGTATCTAAAAGAATTGAAAGGTAGATTGTCAAGAGATATTTGCACACCTATGTTCACTGCAACATTATTCACAATAGTGAAGAGGTGGAAGTAACCTATCATCCATTGACAGATGAACGGATAAATGAAATTGAATATTATTCAGCCTTAAAAAGGAAATTCTGACACTTGCTACAACCTGGACGAACCTGAAGGAAATAGTGCAAAATGAAATAAACAAATTTTTAAAAAGACAAATAATTTATTGATCTATTAACATGGGTTATCTAAAGTAGTCAAATTCATAGAAACAGAAAATAAAATGATGGCTGCCAGAGTCTAAGGGAAAGGAAAAATGGGACATTGTTCTTAGTAGGTTTAGAGCATAAGTTTTTCAAGATACAAAGTTCTGGACATCTGTTACATAGCAGATAAAGTGAACGCTATTGAATTGCACATCTAAAATGGTTTTTTAAAACTTAACAAAAGTATATTTTAAGTATGTTTCATTTTTTGTCAATTAACCTCAATAAAGCTATTTATATGGACATATGTGAGTTTAAGAAGTGATAAAGAGGCTGGGTGCAATGGCACACATCTGTAATCACAGTGACTTGGGAGACTGAAACAGAAGAATTGCAAGTGTGAGGCTAGCCTAAGCAAGTTAGTGAGACCCTGTCTCAAAATAAAAAATAAAAAAAAAAAAAAAAACTTGAGATGTAGCTCAGTGGCAGAGCATTCAATACCCAGTACACACACACACACACACACACACACACACACCACAGTGATAAAGAATAAGAATTCCTAAGTCAGACTTATTGGCCTCAAGTCTGTCTGGTGTGACTGTGGGCATGTTATCTAACTCTTGTTTCTCAACTTCTCCTCTGTAAAATGGGATTTTATAAGTACCCCTTGGTTGGACTATAATATTCATAAGCAAGAGCTAGTCATTGTGCTAAA